CCCCCCCCCCCCCGGGGCGCAGGCGAGGTCCCTTACCGTGGCCAGGGGGACGATGGCCGCCAGGTCCTTCTGGCTGATGAAGATCTCGGACACGGCCGTGTCGGTGGTCGCCGTCCGTGGGTACTCCACGTGCCAGGTGATGGGCTGCGTCCCCGAGAGGCTGCTGAAGCTGGCTATTTCGAAGTTCATCTGCACGACCTCGCTGAACGAGCTGCTGCTTCTGGAAGGGAGGGAGCAAAGGAAATAAATGGCTTTTAGCTGACCGTGTTCCGTGAGAGGGCCCTTTTCTCTCCTTCGGGCTGTAACTCGCGTCTAAGGAGAGAGCAGACACCTGCCGGGGACAGTGCGTGGGCGCGGCGGCTGGGACGGAGGGAGCGGCCCCCACGAGGGAGGAACCGGGCAGAGTCTGGAGCGCTGGGTGTTCACAGGTGTCTGGGCCGGTTTGTACCAGCTCCTCAGACAAGCGGCGAATCCCGCGGCCTCACCCCTGCAGAAGGAGCCTGGGGAACTCTGGACTAAAGAGACTCCCTTTGAGCGGAGTTCGGCGGGTCAGCCCGTTGTGGCAGGTGGCTCGCTCACCACCGTTGACCCGCCCTGGCGTCTCCTCCTGTCCTGTAGGGGCCGACAATCACAGCAGGGCCCTCGGCGCCTGGATGCGGGGCTGAAGGGGGCTGGGGATGCAGGCGGGGGGGCCCGTGACGACGCGGCAGCTCGGAGGACGTGAGCAGTTCCGGGCAGGGGCGGGGGCACCTCCCGCGAACAGCCCAGGTCACTGTGCCGGCCGGCTGGTGCCAGGTTTCCACGCAGCTGCTGCTTTTCTCCACCGGTGTCCTCCCGGCTGCCTCGCTGGCTCATCGCGGTGGCTCTCCTGAGACCGCGTGACCTGCCTCGCACACCCTGACACGGCCTCTTGTGCCTCGACGGAGGGGCCCGTAGCTAGCGGGACTCTGGTTCCCCACGAGGCGTCCCGATCAACACCCTGAATCCGAGGTGAGCCCAGACCCGTGTCTCGTTAGCAAGCTTGCCCCAGCGGGTGTGACGCTTTGGGAACCCGCGACCGTCCAAACTTCTCGTTTTTTCAGACACCGCGGCGAAGGCCCCCGAAGGGGGAATCGGCTTGCCCACGACCCCGCAGAGTCAGAGCGAAGGCGGCATCTCCGGACCCCTGAACCTGTGCTCCCCACGGCAGCCGGAGGCCAAGTGTGGGGTCACGAGGCACCCAGCGAGCGAGTTTCTCCGGTGAGGGGGTCGGCAGACCGCGCGGCCCGTGAGTCGAATCCAGCCTGCCGCCCGTCTGCGTGCACCGTTTCGCTGGAACGCGGCCCTGGGTGGGCTTTGCGTTTCGCCTCCGCCGCTTTCGTGCTGCAGGAGCGTGTCGAGTAGCGGTGTGAGGCTGTGGAAAGCCCGCAGAGCCTCGAGAATTTATCACCTACACCAGCCCTTGTTGCGGGAGGTCAGAGGAAGGGAGCCGGGAGAGCTCTGTGGAGCTGCCGCATCGGCAGAATCGCCATTGGTGGAAATGGGCAGGAAGGAGGCTTTCCAGGCTCGCGGCGGAGTCTGCGGGGCAGGATGCTGGTGAGCCGGAAAGCCGGGCAGCGGAGGGCCTGCAGTGCCCGCTTGCCCGCGTGCTGCGCTCCGGAACGTGGGGGGCCGGGCAGCCGACGGCAGTTATCGCGGGCTGGCGTCCCACGTGTTTCCGAGGGAATCGAGGGGAATTTTCCATGGCACGTCGGGAGGGAAACAGGTCTGCTTACCAACTGCACCCCAGGGCTGCCCGAGTGGCTCAGTCAGTTAAGTGTCTGATTCTTGATCTCGGCTCAGGTCACGATCTCACAGTTCAGGAGTTCAAGCCCTGCACCGGGCTCTGTGCTGATGGTGCAGAGCCTGCTTGTCATTCTCTGTCTCTGTCTCTCTCTCTCAAAATAAATTAATAAACTTAAAAAAAGACAACAACCCTGCACCCCAAACAGAGGCCGGTACCACTATGACGAGTTGCTAGAGAAACCCTTCCCTTTGCTGGGGTGATAAGGACACACCCACTCGATCTTTGGGGGGCTTGCTCAGCAGCCAGAAGGCTAATTCTCCAGCCCATCACCTCCAGCCCTGTTCGGCAGCTGGGGGAGGAGGTGACGGGGAGGTGGCCGCACTGACCAAAGCCCCCCGGGACTCGGGAATCTGCCTCGTGCTCTCCGGGCGGGAAGTGGTACCGAGAAAACCACGGTTTATGGGATGGGATGTGGGAGGGAACACAAATCCGTTGTCTGGTGCATCCATCCATGAGCTGTGCAATCTCAAGAACGGACGACTTGCCTTGGAAAATGAGGAAGAAGTGTCTGGAGTCTGGAATGTTTCCAAACCAGGAGAGTCACACTTGGTCCGGCAGCTAAGCCTGCAGGGACCTGAGCCTGCTCGACTCGGCCCCCAGAAATCCTTCCCACCTGCTCTGGCCCAGTCTGTCCCTTCCCTGGGCGACAGGCGGGGCTTTATGTCAGGGGGTCAACTGTGCTCTGTTAGCAAGAACCCTCGCACGGGCATCTCCTTCCTCGGCAGAGCTGGGTACGGGCTGAGTACGCTGGAGACGTCCAGTGGTTGCTTCATAGACTCTGCTCAGTCTATCTTCCTTGGTCACGGATGAGACAAAAGCCCCAAGACCCTGCTGTGGCCCCACTGGGATGTGCCGGAGTCTGCGACGTGCCTCAACCTGCGCCCGTCTTCATTTTCTTAGAAAACTCTATTTGGAGCATCACAGCAGCCGGCACCACCTACTGAGACTAAGTGCCGTCATCTAGACGACTGAAATGACGGCCTTCCCTTTCTCCACGTAGGACACTGGGATGCGGAAGGGGCAGCTCAACTCAACCCGAGCTGCGTCCTCTTCCGCTGCAATTGTGCGAAAGGGGGTCTCGGTGCCGGACAAGAGAAAAGAGACGCGGAGTTTGCCTTTGCGACTTTAAAAGATATCGTGTTATATGGTTTTTGCGGGCGACAGGTGACCTTCCCGAGGTATTCTCAAGGTAACGTAAGAATAAAGGCAACAAGCGGCAACTGGGTGGCTCAGTCGGTTAAGCGTCCGACTTCAGCTCGGGTCACGATCTCACGGTTCAGGAGTTCGAGCCGCACGTCGGGCTCTGTGCTGACAGCTCGGAGTCCGGAGCCTGCTTCCAATTCTGTGTCTCCTTCTCGCTCTGCCCCACCCCCACTTGCGCTTTGTCTCTCAAAAATAAGTAAGTATTTAAAAAAATTAAAAAAAAAATAAAGACAACAAGCCACCGTGTATGAAATGTTCCCTGTGTACCAGGCACTGGACCAGGTCCCATGCATATATTATTTCAAATCCCAATAAAATCCCTTTCAGAGGTAATTGTGGTTCCTATTTTGCACAAATGCCAGAGCAGAGCACTTTCTCAGGTCCCTGCACCCAGGAGGGGTGTTTGCACTACGTGGTGCTCAACCAGGGGTGGAAGGCAGTGCCTGGCCAGGTGCCCATCGGGAACCTGCCACAGCCCCCCACTCATGCTGACTCTTGGTTTCAAGATGGAAAAACAATTAGAAGTCACAGTGTGGGGGAAACTCCAGCTTTCCCCGGAGCTGTGCAGAATCCCTAGTCAGAGTGGCATCAGGGTGGTGCTGGGGGCAGAAGGTTGACACAGTTTTGCAGGGGGCTGGAGACCTCAGACCGAGAGGAGCAAGAAGCTGGCCCGTGTGGGCAGGGATCTCGGGAACAGATGCGACAGAATAGGCCAGGCAAGCCCGGCCCGACAGTGAGATACACCCCAGGGAGGCTCGGGATGAAACATTCTGACTCCAGATGAGGAATTCCTTTGGGAAGAAAGAATCGACTCCTTCGTCGGTTCACTTTTGTGGGACTGTGCTTCTTCCTACACTCCCTCACCCCACACGGCTTTTACCTGCTTCGTCCCTAAAATCTACATAATGTGACATACCCACAGTAAAGTGAATTGAGCCACAGTTTGAAACGTGAGACTTTAGGGGCGCTTAGGGGAGAAAGCCATATGGTGCCTGTGGTCCGGCTCTGCTCATCTGAATGGATACATGGCCTCCTCGCTCCCGCCAACCGCTGCCTTGTGGATCTTGAAGGGTTTTTTTTTTTTCTGGAGTTTTTCTATAAAATCTCTGAATTTTAAAATATAAGAACCTCAACCTTTTAGCCGTGATGTCGCTCAAATCTGTATCTCTGCTGGCTGTCAGTTTGCGGTCTCTGGCTCAGGAAGATGGTATCCCTGTCCTCTGGAGGCAGCATTGCAAAAAAGGGCCATGCTCGTTGGACGATGGGGCCCTGAAGACAATGCAGGGGGATGATTTCCAAACTGTGGCCCCAGGACCCTTAGCATACCAAGGGGCAGTGACAGCGGTGGCCGTGGGACTGGAGTTGGTCCTTAACGTCACCCCTGCAGCACCAAAAGCAACTCCACCCCTACGTGTTGTAATATTGGGCCTCCAAGAAGTACTTATGTAAAGGATGGAGAAGAAAACAAGGCACGAGGGAAGGAAGAGAAGGAGGGGAAAGGTAGGAAGGCAGAAGCAAGAGACGGGAGGGAGGAGGGAACCAGGGGGGTGGAGCCAAGACTGTCACGCGAGACTCTGCCAAGGAAACACAGCAAGTGTTACGATCGAGCGCGCTGTGGGTCCTGAGTTCAAATCCTGGCTCCACCAGCTCGGTACCATTGGGCAACTCGGCCTCCTTTTCCCTGTTTGCAAACTGGAGATGCGACTTGTTCCCATTTCACAGAGTTGGTGTGAGAATAAGGAAATGAGCCAACGGGTGTCACGCACTTAGAATGCTTTCGCACTAGCGAACATCAGCAAACGTTAACTGTTCTTGTTTTTAGCACAACTTGGCACTGTGTTTGTGCTCAGTGACTTGAGGTTTGACTGCCTAAAGCCACCTTTAAAACATGCCCCTCAGGGCTGGTCCAGGAGTCCCTGAGAACAAGCCACAGTAGAGACATAATTCTCCACCATTCATTGCCATCTGGGGTTTATTCGGATTTGCGTTTACTCCATAGCTGTCCCCCTCAGACACGATACCACGGTATCACAACTTCCGCTGGCAGATGGAGACCAAGAAAGGAAGAAATCTGTGTGTGGTCTTGTCCGTCGTCAGTGCCCTCCTGCTGTCTCTGAGCTGATGGAAATCTTTGCTAAGCTTTTGCCTTGAAGGGCCCAAGAGCCCTGCATGTCTGCCCATCTGGGGCCAGT